AATTTGAAAATGGCAAATACAAAAAGAAAGGAAATAAAGCAAGAATGGTTGAGTAGTCGATCTTTACGTAAAATTGGTCCACAAAAAAAAATTGTACGGGATGAATGGGCCACCACCAATAATAAAAGATGGAAATGTGATGTATTTGGAATCAAAATAATGCTACTTGACATGGTGCTTTGTAGTTATAGTTGTAGTGGGTTTCTTTCTTTACTTACTTATGGTTTGGTTTGGTTTGGTTTTGTTGCTATTCTATTCCAAGCCATCCAGCTAATATTGTCTCCTCCTTTGATGGTCTATTTTCATGCTTTTAGGAATGGTTTTCTTTTGGTAATATTTTTTCCTCTTCTTATAAATTTGGAATCCTTCAACTCCTAAATAAATATCATGTTACAATACGTCAATACGTCATGTGAAAAACCTTGCATTAATTTCTAACCTTTTAGATTACAGGTATAAGGCACTACAGGAAAAATATTTTCAAGGTATATGTATGCACACTTACACCACATATCTTCTTCCTTGAGTGGGCTTCATGTTGACTTTTATAAGCTTGTATATATTGACTAAAAAATTTCAATAAACTTCCAACCAAACCTTTTAAATCCCACACAATATTTAGCCAAATCAATACTTTACAGGTTAACGACTTATGAAGATAACAGACTTCGTATTTTTTATATATTTAGTTACCATTTTTTTTTTTGTATGTCTTACCATTAATTTTTTCACTTTGTTCAAAGTATATAATTATATAATCATTGTAGGTTTCCTTGTACATATTTAGTCACTAATTTCTTTTACCCATTTAATCACTAATTTTGTTCTCGTAACATATTTAATGACTAATCTTTTTTCTTTTGTACATATTTTATCACTAATCTCATATAATATAAATGTGTTATTACATATGCATAAATATTCATATAAAACACGTATCTACATATAAATAAAACATATTTATAAATAAATATTTGGTTTTTTGAATAAATACATATTTTGATGTAAACATACATATTTTTACATTAAGAACATATTCTTTTTTATTTAACCCTATATATATATATATATATATTATATATATATATATATATATATATATATATATATGGGTAAAGTGAATATACCTAACAACCTTATATAAGCTTAGGTACCTAACCACAATACTACATTGTTTTGCATTATATTTCCATTATAATCATCTAAGGTTCTTAAACTTCAACCCTTAACTTGATTTACTTCCAAGATTTTCAGATATTCATCATTATATTCTTCCTACACCATTTGATTTGTAACGGTAGTATATGAAGCCCACCAGGGGGTCTCCGATAGAATGACATCATTTGAAGGAAGATAATGGTGAAAGTCCAAAGATTTTGGAAACAATCAAGTTATGAGGTTGAATTTAAGAACTTTGGGTGATTACAATGCAAATATGATACAAAATTACGTAGTATGATGTGGTTAGGTAGCTAAGTTTATATAAGGTTGTTAGGTATATTCACTTTACCCATATATATATATATATATATATATATATATATATATATATATATATATATATATATATATATATAAAAAAAAACCCTAAAATCATAAAAATACATAAAAAAAAAAGTATTTATAGATCACAAATCTTTTTTTTACTTTATATAAAATTGCAAATCGCTGAAAAAAATTGAAAAAGAAAAACCAAAATTAAAAATTAAAAATAAATAAATAAATAAATAATTGTTTAATTTTATTTTCAGCGAATTTAAAAAAAAAAAAAAAAAAAAAAAAAAAAAAAAAAAAAAAAAAAAAGTTGCGATTATTAAGAATATAAAGTCAAAAAAAGATTTATAATCTCTAAGTATTTTTTTATGATTTTTAGGGTTTTTTTTGTTTTGCATATATATATATATATATATATATATATATATATATATATATATATATATATATATATATATATATATATATATATATATATATATATATAGAGAGAGAGAGAGAGAATAATTTTATTTCATACTATATCATAAAATTGAATTGTATTGTTTACTAGGGCCGAAGAAAACTTATTTCTTCCATTATCAACATCTAATTGTCTTCACGATTGCCCTCTTATTGTAAATGTATCCGAGATCTCACATTTTATCGTAGTCTTTGCTCCTATACATTTTCTTAGGATTGTTGTCTCAACCTTCATTTTATGTTTTCTTTATATCCCAAATACCTTTGCGTGAAATCCGTACTAGAGATGCACGTAAAATCCGGATCCTCGAAATGAAACCGATCCGATCCGAAATCCGGTTTCGGTCAAAACCGGTTTTGACCAAACCGAATCGGATTAAACCGGTGATCGGATTCAAACTAGTTTGGCTTTTCGAACTCAAAATCGGATTGACCCCATATCACAAACCGGATTCTACAAAAACCGGTTCTTAAACCTTCGAAAAATCTGGCAAAAGCTAACAAAATCCGAATCAAACCGGTTTCAAATCGGATTCGGATTGTCGACCAGATTCAGATCAAATTTTGACCGGATTCGGATCGGATTGGACCAGATCGGATTGTTGGCCGGATCGGATCGGATCCTGGGTTTGTGCATCTCTAATCCGTACACATGCCCCCACGATGGGAGTCTACCGGTCGATGACAAATTCCATAAAGGAGGTTCAAGATAGCCTAAGCCATTGGTCAACCTCTGGTGATTGTGCAATTTTTGGTGGTAACCTTGTCTCTTGGTTATCTAAAAGGTATCATGGTGTAACCTTCCGATTAGGCTACAAGAAGTGGTGTTGGCATTGCTTAGCACCTCCTCCTCCCAAACCCCAATTCACATCGGTCAAAGCTTGCCAAGAGGAGAAAAACTTGGTGATTTTCTGCCGAGTTCCTCAGAAAACTTCGGCATGCCAAGGTGAGGGATCGGTGTTCCCCTCATTGTCAAGTTCCATATCACCTCTACCTCACCATTGTCGATTGCTTCTTCTTGTCACTCCGTACTGGCTTACTGAAACCAAATACTTGGAAACTACTAATTTTATTACTAAGGTTGTCTGGATTGTAACATCCTTCTTCCTTATCCCGTCTTCTTGTGTTACTTTGTTCTTTGATTAAAAAAAAGTATTTTAATGGTTTCTAGTTTATTTGACATTTCAATTATTGGAGACATTGTTTAGTTTGTTTGTTTTGACATTTTCATTTAATTTTTTATATTCACATTAATGAACTAAAGATATGAGATGATGGAATGAAATCAGGAGGGAACGAAATAAACAACATAATAGAATGATTGAGATAACCAAACAGATTATTACATTTCATTTTTGTGTTTGATTGGATCAACGAAATGAATTAATCATCCAAACATGTTTGTTATGTGTAAATAAGATATTTAATAAAACTAAATTGTTGAATAAGTGAAAATATTATTATATGAAAAGTAAACTTTAACTAAATAAAGGTATGTAATCAAATAAAATGCATTTAGACATATTTTATATCTATTAATGTATGTTAAACATATTACACATATTTCAAATAGTTAAACGAATTATATATCACAAAAAAAAAAATTACAAAAATTTAAAAAGTTAGATATCATGAATTATTGAATACAAGTTATAATAATAAATATTTTAGTTGTTTTTTTTGTTTAAGTTAATTGAAGTTTTAAATTTTTTAAAAACTGTAACAATTATTGAAAATTACTTGAATATAAATAAATTATAATTATAATATATATCATTTAGTTCTTTTAAATTATAAAAATAAATAAATAAAATAAGACTCCTATACGGAATTTTGAAATAATAATAATAATAATAATAATAATAATAATAATAATAATACTCCCATAGGGAATCAAAATTAGTTCAGGTGGAAGAATAACATTTCATAAAAAATGCTCCAAACGAATGACTTATTTTTCTCGTTATGTTATAATGTTATAATATGTTGTTTCACTTCATTCCTTCTTCGGTTACTAACACTACATACCAATCATTACCTAAGTATATTAGGTTGTCACATTTAAGTTTAATGAGTTAAATATATAAAATGGAAGCACCATTAAAGTTAAAATAGTGAAAAAAAAAAAAAAAAAAGGTATGATTGAAGTTTAAGCAAATGATGTGGTTGAAGAAAATACTTATCTTGAACCAACCACTAATAGCAGCCTTAGAGTCAGATAGATACGTGGACAAATCCAATTATGTCCATGATTCACATCTCATGCAATAGACTAATGGCTATGATACGTGGACAAATCCAATAATGTCCATGATTCACATCTCATGCAATAGGCTGATAGCTATGATGAGTGATGAGATGGACATTGGATGGGTAACAACTAACAAGTGCAAGATGTTTTGGGCTACAACAATCCATATAAATAAATAAAAAGGCATAGGGTAAAAGGTTGGAAAGTATAGAAAAGAAAAGTTAGTTTGTAGTTTGTAAAGTAAAATTACATCATCATAGGTCATAACTCATAAGTTGGAAGCCACAATGAAATGAGAGGAGCCTATCCGATTCTTACAGGAAAAAGGAACGGATAATGTTAATGTGATATATTAATTTTAGATGTGGTTACTTATTATAACGAAAATCCTAAATTAATTTCAACCAATGAAGCTAAAAAGCAATACCAGGTATCGTGTAAACTCGGGCAAGGCAAATACAGAGATACTAGGTGGTCTTTTTTGCCACTTCTTCAGAATACAGTGAAAAAAAAAAGTTCCAAGTACATAAAAGTTTGTGGTCATCCATATATTAATGCATGTTAAGCATGTTTTACAAACAAGATTAAAAGTTGAAGCCAGTAAATGTGTTGAACTGATGAACAAAGCATTGAATTGGTCCAAATATTTGCGTTTTCACATTCTAAGAGAATCAATCCATTCATTTTTGCGTAAATCAATCCAATACCATTCACTCCCATAATTTGGGAAGACAGCAGTAAAAAGTAAAGGATATATTATATATATACCAGTTGACTTACCTGACTGAAAGCATCATCTTTTAAACTGTATAAAAACACGCCATGAGCATGAGCAATTTTAGTTAAGAGAAACATCAAAAGTTGACATACACACACACACAGACACAGACACAGACACAGACACATACAAGGTGTTGGTGGGTAGTACTGTACAGTAGTACTACTTTTCTTTTGAAATAATGGAAGAGTGAGTGAAGAAAAGCATATCCCTAGGCCTAAATTTCAAGATCATCCAAAGAGAGGTCGTCATTTGCAGTCAGCAACTTCAGTTTCTGCAAATTCATATTAAATTAAGTATTAACCAACCACATATCACAACAAAACCAACCTTTTAAATTACTTATATATCTCATCTCATGTTTCTAATATATATATATATATATATATATATTATATATATATATATATATATATATATATATATATATATATATATATATATAGAGAGAGAGAGAGAGAGAGAGAGAGAGAGATTGTTCATTTGACAAATACACAGATTTGGATGTCTGTCGTTAGGATGGACAGGCCAGGCCAAGCCAAGTAGCATAACAAGTCAGTGATGGAACAACATAAAACAAACTACCTCTAACAACTTCAGGAGGAATCTGATCTGCTTTTGACCTTATTGCCGTTACTAAGACTTTGCAATATAATATTACGACTTAACCTGTAAGAGTTCAAAGGCTTCCACAAATTGCGTCTTCAACCCATATATATTCACAAGGGAATTACAGAAGGCAGATTCCGAATTTCACCAAGGGGATCCATCAGAGGCCTCTAGTCTACAGCATTCTAATGAGTAATGACAACTGAGATTCCCGTTGGCTTGGCTTGTTTGTTAAATTAGGCCCATTTTCTCCCTACGTTATATTTATCTCGATGCTACTTGTAGTTGAAATATTCCAAAATCAATAGAAATCTCTCTGGTTCCCATGTAGACATAGCACATTTCCCCGATCGTGTGTTCTTTGTATCTTATATTTGCCTATTTTGTCATTTACATCACTAATACTCTATGGCATATATATATAAAAAATAAAAAATAAAAACTCAATAACATTAGCACCAATATAATATTGCACAGAGAATGTTTTTTTTTTTTTTTTAAAAAAAAGATCATGGTGGTTTGGTCATATTGAAAGGAGGCAACTAACAATTGCGGTTAGGAGGGAGGGTAGAGATGTTGAAGATCAATGATATCGAGAGAATGAAATAGGAAGGTTAGATTTGAAGAAGTTGGCCTTTACCAAATACCAAGGATAGGAGGCTTGAATCTTTACTTTCAGTTGTATTGCTTGTATCTAACCTGTTTCTTTATTCAGAAAGCCCCCAAGTTTATTCTCTATTCCATGTTGATGCTTCATATGTTATATATGTAGAGGTCATGATTATCAATACAGGCCTTGACCTTTGGCAGAGGCTTGGGTGTCTACATCTTACCTCCCTTTACCCTATGCATAGCATATGGAACTTGGATACTTCAAATATGATGAAAGCTATTCGTAACCCACAATTCATAATCATATGTTATAAACTCCCCTGCTTGCTTTGATTTTATCCATATGGGTTGAGTTGCTACAGACTAGCCCAGTCATTTTTTGATTCATAACAATGATGGAACTTATTGGTAGCCCAACTTAGTGGTAAAACTTCTCCATGTGGGATGATTTATTATAACTCCCCCACATAAACTCTTTCACTCTTGTATCCATGTGGGATTACATGATTCATGCAACAAACTAAAAACCCAAGTAGTATCATGCTCTAAATTGTCAAAAAGACAAAAACAACCAGCTAATTAGACTTGTTTGCAATCATAAACTTTTACCTTCATTTCTTGTTTTTACCTTTTCTTCAACTTTGGCAATCATACGTTTTCCTCTTGTGTATCCCCTCAAAACCTTCCTTCAGGGTTCAACCCAACTTTGAAAATCCTCTGCAATTGATTTATTTCCCACTCCCTAATAATCCGATTTCTCCTTTTTCATACTCTTCATTGTTTATCATTAAGTATAGAGCGGAGAAAATGGAGTGTTGCGAATGAAAAGGAAAAAAGAAAACATGGATCATGGAAATGGAATACCAAGCAGCAGAATCTGTATTAGGGGCAGGCATGACTGATATTTCAGATTGTTTACTAATTCATGTACTTAGACATAACAAGTACTTAGTCCATGTATGGGCTATGGAATCCCTAAACAGAGTGTGGAGTGTTTTACTGGATCTCAAATTTCAGATTGAAAGTTTGCCTTGAAGAAAAAGAGAGAGGTTACTGACCGTGATAAATTGTGGAGGATCATCCAGACTAGATGAGCCTAGAACGACTTCTCTCTTCAATTTAGTAGTCAACTTGTGGCAAACCCGCAGCTGAGAGAGTAATCATCAGATAGATGTAAGAATCTGTGTGTTATATCATCATAAAAGTAAAAACAACTGATTACAAACTGTTTACCTCTGATCTAGTTGCTCCACCAACGATAAACACAAAAATACGTCTCCCCATCTTCTTGAAGTCACTAGATGCATGCCTCAAAATGGAATCACTGCAACAAAGGTAAAAACAAATAAATAAAATGTATTTTAATAATAAAAAATGACAAGAGTACCTTGAATAGCCATCTTCAGAATCTCGAGGTCTGGCCCATGTTGCTGTTCGTCTGGATCTCATTGAATGAGCAGCAGCATGAGGTTCAACCGCTTTTGCTGACTCAGACTGTGTCCTCCCATGAAAAGTGGGACTTGGATCATTCATACACGGGTAATCACTTTTTGGTAGTTCATTTTTGCTAAGTTTTTCAATAAGCTCCTGAAAAACATGATAATCATCAATTCATGTACTTCCTTCATGAAAAACACTACTTACTATCATAACCATACCTCGATCATAGGATAAAACCGTGATAACTGCCAAGCTGCTTCTTCATCCGTACGGTCTTTTCTTAACCCATGTTTCTTCTGAAAAAAAAAAAGATGACATTTTAGAAATATAAGTTACAATAAAAGTTGTAACACTTCAGACGTAATTAATTATACCTTGTGAACATCAAATTTTAAAGAAAAGGCAGCGAGTGAGTTCTTTTTGGAATCTGATGATCCCTCGAGAAATCTCATGTTGTATACAGCACTCATATCATCTTGGGGAAGTCTTGCTAACTGGAAAACATATAGGAAAAAAGAAATTATAAGTTCAAACAGATGCCAAAACGGTAACTAAATATCCATATTTCATGAATTTTAAAGGCTTGCCTCCATTAACTTTGCAAGTTTGTCACTCTCAAACTTCTCTGGGTGAGTTGCTGCATATATCATTAATAACCGCAGTTTATTTTCACGAGCAGCATCCTGCATGAAGAGGGATAAAATTTTGTGGATACAGAAATGAATTTTTGTAGATAGATAAGGTTTTAGCTTACTCACTGGATGTGTTCTCAGGAAGTTGATGACCTCTTTAGTTCCTGCATCTCCAAATACAAGGTCCTGTTCTAGTTGTCCCACTTCTTTAAGCCCCAAATCCCTAATTATTTTGTTAATCTTATCAGCAATCTGCATCAATCAAATCCATACACAGTTACAACATCATCATTACAGATCTTCCTTTTTTTTTCTTTTATGCCAACTTACATCAACATGGAGGGATAGTTTGTCGATCTGTTCACTATATTGTGGCAATGCTTGAACCATCTTTTGCAAGTCTCGAGTAGATAGCTCACCACCACCTCTACGCACAAAAACAAAATATTTCAAATCAGGTATTAAGTTTTTTTTTTAATTTACACCAATAAATCATATGTAAACAGACCTTGAGCCATGCATCTGTGCAGCTTTATTCTTGGACACAAAGCTTGTCATCTTGTCATGCAACCGTACACTAGCCTGACAATGCATGATTTATCAAAAATAAAAAATATATATATAAATCCGAATGCATCTGGTAAGAACTAAAAGAAAGAAGCCCATGAGTCATACATCTGCTATATGTGAATGGCGGAGCTCTAGCCATACAGGATCATGATCTTCTAGAAGGACCTCTTTCTTTTCTGGAAGGCCACCTGTTTTGCTTGCAACCTAAGTAGTATACTTACTTGATTTATAATAGCAAAATAAATGTAAAAACAAAAAATCCATGCCTAGAAACAGAGACTAACCTCATGAACATATTTATTCCCATCCATGTTAAGTAAATCATGGCACATGGCATCATATGTCCATTCGTGAATAACAGGAGCAATCTAGAAAAAAATAAATAAATAAGAAAAATTAAAAACAAGAGATTGCAATAAGAATATAAGAATGTAGAAAGTATGAACCTGATCGATTGATCTATCTAGAATGAGCAGCTCGCAGGTTTCTGTTTGAGGAAAATTGAAGTTTTTGAGAGCTTTATACTTGATAAGACAATTCCAAACAGCTGCAGCAAGCTTTGTAGGTATCAAATCACGAATTGTTGTCATTGTCGTAGGGTCAAGGGATTTGGCAGCACGATAACGTACAAATGGGAACTCCTGAAAAGAGTTTATATAGCTTGATAAAAAAAAAACTAATATATATATATATTTTTTTATTAAAAAAAATAAAAGAAGCAAAATTGCATACCAATAATGAAGCAAATACAGTTGCAATTCGGTTGGCCATCACATTCAAACATTCATCTCCTTTTCGGGTCATTACCTCATTCCCATAAAGCTCTTCCAAAACCATTGTGTTATCAGTGATAAAACACTGTAGAGTAATAGAAATTGACTGGTCAACACCAAAAAAGATAGCATATATATATATATATATATATATATATATATATATATATATATTTCAAAGAAAATAAAATATTACTTTAATTGACTAAAAAGCAATTTAGTTTAACATGTACCTGGCTATCAATGGCAAAGTACTCCAAGTTCATCTGCAAATCCGTCTCGAAAGTAAATACAAGTACAAAATCTAATTATATTACAAAAAGAAAAAAGATCCAAGATGAGCTTAAACCTCTTTCATAGCACGTAAACGAGATTTTATACTTTGCTCTTTTTTTATGTAGTTAACCAATTCCTTTGGAACTGATGAACTGAAGAACACGTAGGCACTGGAAGGAAAAGGAAGCAAATATTAAGGAACCATAAGAAAATCTGAATACTGTGTTTTTTATGAGATGAAAAAGAGGGAATATGATCTTTTCACATACTCTCTATAAAGAGGTGTTTTTCCAGACATGTCAGATAGGAGCATAACGACACTGCATTTTAAGATAAGCAAGTTAGGCATTGTAAATGTAAGAGTTAAAATCATATATTTGTTGTATAAGAGTAAGAAAAGAAAAGGATTTTGATATACTTCTCTTTTGTTGGCTGGATGTAGTACACTGCATCCATAGTGGGTAGTGGTTGTCTTCTCTTGTTTATGTCTTCCACCACTGCAGAAAGAAGGAAGATTTAAACAGTGTCACGTGATTGATGTGATGATAATCAACATCATTTCTTGTTTTTAAGATAGACAAAATATAGTGAAGATCAAGAATGAAGAATTCAAACTTTCTGAGGCAGGCCTTTTACGTCTTACATGAAACTCCTTCATCTGTGATGTCTGCCATCTTGCATGAGCATGACATTATTTTAACAGTCACTTTATCCATGATCAGTACCTAACCAAACAAGTGCCAGAGACCAATAGCTATCAATAACCCATAAATTTTCAGACCATTGTCAATCATGTGACTACAAGCTTGTAAATAATACCTTCCAATTTGATTTTGAATCTGGGCTTCTTGCTGTTCTCAGCATTTCATACAATAATCCTGCACATAATAATGATTGAATCAAATGTTTGTCTTCAAAACAGATTTACAAATCAGTAACTTTCATAACATGAACTTCTAAGCATCTAAAAGCTAAAGTCTCGGTTGCTACCATAAATATGTTAAAATGAGGAGGTCAGGTTTCAATCCTTGTTCGATTCAACTTCACTAAAACTTGCTGTTTGATTAGACAAATTATAAAACAAGATCAAAGGAAATACATAACCAATTGTTTCAGATATTAGGATCATTAAAACAAGCTTCCTTCTACCTAATTAAGACAACTTTTCTATTTTGTTAATTAAACAAAAATTGAGGGAACTGAACTTTACCTTTCCATACAGCTTATTACGGTTCTCTTCTGTAACTTATTCATTATGCTTCCAAAAACTCAACTACACTTATATCCTCTTGTTGCATTCCTTCTCATAATTATCCTAACCAATTGTTGCTTAAAAGGTGCTTTGTAAAAATGCATGCAATAAATATCATCTTCTTCCAATATTGTCACTCAGAAGTTGATATCTCCACTCCAGTGAAATATAAATTCTATTACTTATTAGAATATATTAACTTGATTTAAAAATTGATTCAAGTGTTGAAATTCTAAATAATCTCCTTTGTTTTGTTTTGATTTGATGCTTTAGTAAAATACCCTTATATATAGTGGTGGAATGAATTTGTGAATTGGCACTCTCCTGATGTGAATTTGTGGCCTTAAAAGCATCTTATATCACCACAATAAACCAACAATTACTATGTTACTAAGCCTCATGCACCAATCAAAACAAAGATAATATACTAGAGATGCAGTAGTAGACTTTGTTAACCTGATGAAGACTACTGAACTTAAGATACACACATGCTATTAGTATTAGCCCATTAAGTTAGTGTCCATTTGCAAAGGCACAAGGTTGTAACAATTTTGTTAGCCTAGTAAAATTACCAGAATTGTTATGTAGAGTTAGAAGTGCAAATAAGGGTAACACCACAATCTTGATTCTTGATGTCAGTTGGCACCACTAATACCCCAAAATGGGATTGTCAGGTTTTCAAGCCTCATCTGGTTAAAATCTAAAAGAGTTTCTGACTGATTAAATGAAACGAAAGAGGGAAATAAACGATGAACCATAATTTCATATAATGGTGTTCTGTAAAAACTCACACAAGCAGTACTTTTTCCAATTCCCATTATAACCATCTGAACTCGGCATCTATAAGTCTAGTGATATTGTGAATTCAATTAATTGTAAAACACATCAGATTTACAAACGATTTCCTTAATTTTCAAGTCTCGACAGGAAACATTGTGGAGGAATTATAAGCATGAACGTTTTCCTCTATGTGAACCTACATCCCTACAGATTTTTTTACCATTCATGAATTGAAAGAAAACTCAAACCACAACTTCGTAAGTTACCTATATGATCAATTCAAACAAAAAGCATACACTGCAGCTTTTGCACGACTTATTCAACTTGATCACAACCACAACTAAACTTGAAAAACACAAATGCACAATTAAAAGCGAATATATCGTACATATAGGGAAAGAAACTCACGATCACGAGTAATTTGTCTGAAGTTTTTATATTCGCTGCCTCCTTGAGACGAAGTATCCGAATCCGACATCGACATATTTGATTCAAGAAGCTAATTACTACAAAAATCAGTGCGTGAATCGATCGAAGAAAACCTCAAAGTTCAACAGGAAACACAGATCACAGCAATCAGTTCTATGGTGGTTTGAAGATGGGGGAGAGAGAAAGAGAGAGACCTGAAATGTAAATAAAAGGGGTGTAAGAGTGAATATGGGTTGACTTGGTGGTAACCCGCGTTGAAATGGCCCGTACCCGAATATATAATGATGTATTTATCCGACTTGGAATATGTGGATCGGGTCGGGCGATGGCTTAGAAGGGTAACTTGAGGACGTAATTGATTTGTTATAGAATAAGTCGCAAACCAATATTGAATATTCCCGTTCTCTTTTCTGCAATTAGAAACGGAAACCCTACCCAACACTATCTATTTATTAGGAATAAGATTTGTTAAGGTAATTAACTTTTTGGGTTTTTCACATATAGGTAGTTATTTTATTTTTGTATACATCTAGGTAATAAATTTTTTGGAACTGTTCACATATGATCATTATGACCTGCTGTAGTAGGTTACATCCAGCTACAGTAGGTCATAATGGTTATACGTGAACAGTTTCATCAAGTTCGTTACCTAGATGTGTACAAAAAAAATAATTACCTAAATATGAACAAAACCAAAAGTAAGAGTAAATTACATGAATTGTCCCTATGGTACAGGAGAATTTGTGCATTTGATCCCTAACTTATTCTTTTTAACTCGGATGGTCTTTACTATTTATTTTTGTTGCGCGCTTAGTCCCTATCTTACCTAAAAAGACTATTATGCCCTTATTAATTTATTTTTTTAATTAATTTTCTTATTTGTGCTTTTTTATATGTTTAAAAAAATTAATAGATCTCACATATCTGTATCTCCTCACCGTAAATCTGAAACCATATTTGAGAAATTTAATTTGGGTCCCACCGGTCACCATCTCATCTCACATCCTCTTCAACCTCTATTTTCTTTCAATCTTTAGTGACATGAAAGTCTTCACCATCCTTTTTTTTTGTCCTTCAACTCTGACGAACAAAGACCATAACCCACGGTCTCTTCACTTTATTGGGTTGTGGTGTTGGTTCGCTGAAGTTGAAGGACCGAAAAAGAATAGATGGTGAAGACTTCGTTGTTATTAAATATGGAAAAGAAATAAAAGTTTAGGATGATGAAAGATATGATGGTGAGAAGATACAGATATGTGAGGTCTATTAGTTTTTTTAAACATATAAAAAAATACATAAATAAGAAAATTAATTAAAAAAAATAAATTAGTAAGGACACACTAGTCTTTTTAGGTAATACATGGACCAAACGCAACAAAACAAAACAGTAGGGACCATCCGAATTAAAAAAATAAGTTAGGGACCAAACGCATATATTCCCCCAACCCGCAGGGACCATTCGTGTAATTTACTCTTACTTTTGGTTTTGTTCATATTTGGGTAACTATTTTTCTTTTGTACACATCTAGGTAACGAACTTGTTGAAAGTGTTCACATGTAACCATTATGACCTACTGTAGCTGGAGGTAACCTGCTACAGTAGGTCATAATGGTCATATGTGAACAGTTTCAAAAAGTTTGTTACCTAGATGTGTACAAAAAAAGATAGTTACCTACATGTGAACAAACTGAAAAGTCAATTACCTTAATTAGTCTTATTCCCCAATTTATTATCCTCGGATACTTAGAAAAAATATTATATTATTTTTATATATATTAAAAGATAAACAGTATTACATTAACTTCAACAATCAGGCTCATTGATTGTTTCTTTAATAATTTTTCACCCTTAGATCAATTTGATAACATCATCTTGACGAAATAAAAAGAACATCGTTTCTTTAACAACAATTATGTGTCTCCTAAATGATATTCAAAGTTTCCAAACTTAAATTACATTCGAAACCTAAAATCACAAAAACCTTAACCCTAATTCGTCTTCCCATTGCAACATGACACCAACATGCCTTCTCTATCGAGGAACTCTCTATTGATCGATTCAATTCAAAGATTTTACAAGTAACATATTTGCAAAAAACTAGCGACAGATAATGAAGAAGAATGTTTCAAATTTGATTTCATCTTCTCATCATACATATAAATTAAAATACGGTCACTCATCTTACAGGTAACATATTTGAAATTTGATTCCATCTTCTCCACCTTTTTCTTTCAAAGTTTGGGGCAAAGCCCTAAAATATCGTCAATGAAGAAGATTAATGGAGACTTAAGGCACTTGAATAAGATGAACTCTAATGTGTGATGAAGCCTGTAACGACTAGCATCAATGTTGTTATTTCTATTGCAAGTTTTGTTTAATCGATTTTAAGTTATAACAAACAATCGACTCTTAGTCCACGTAACAAACTCAATTGGGTTTTCAGTTTTAGAGCTTTACTTTTGTCTAATCGATTCAAATCACATAGTCGATCACCTGCTTTCATCTCTCATTTTGCCTCCGTTTGATTTCCTACAATTTGATCGATGCCCAGGTTTATTGATTTTGATATATTTCTTATTTCAAATGAATTATAGTTTATAGAGTTTACTGATATCATTTTATTTTTACAGAAACGCTTCCAGTGGCTGTTGGGATTTTGAGTTCATTGAACCTAGCAAGGTTGCAAGTTGCATCATACCATTTGTTAACATTGTTTTGAATTATTTTTCTCTTGAAAAGAGACTTCGATAGAGCTCTAACAAAATTCCTTCTGCTAGATTTTCAATCAATTATGATGGTTGATGACATGTTAAAATTTATAATTACTTGATTTAATCAATTTTATGTTTTTCATTTTTCATATGATGGCGTGTGCAGGGTGAAGGAACATGGAGTTTGTGTTAAGAGGAGGAACAAAAGACGAAGTAACACACCTTCATTCACGAAGGTGCAAAATTCTGATAAGAAAATGAAAAAAGTTTCAAGGAAAAGAAAAAAAAAAGACAAAGAACCGTCGGAATTGGTTATTTCCACTAGTCATGTTAATGAGGGTAAAAACATTGTTGTAATGAGTGACAAAAAGAACAAATTGAAGAAAAGGAAAATAAATAAAGAAAATAGTGAGGGAGGTGATCATGAAGGCGTTCCACATGATAATGTAAGTGAAGATATGCCAACCAACAAAATGGTATGCACTCGCAAGCTTTGACTAATTTAATAAGGTATTGTTTCTTTTTCTCCCAATAAGGCATTGTTTCATTTGTATGGCTACATTACATAATATAATATGTCTTTAAGTCTTAGCAGATAATCTAGAATGTGCAAATTCTCCAAAGAAGATGAAAAAAGCTGCAAGAAAAAAAAAAGCAAAGGCATGGAGACGAAAAGAAGATGGTGTCGTTGAACATCTTTTGCACTCTAATGAAGTTGGAGCCAATTCTAACCAACAAATTGGTATGATATGAACTCTCATACATGGTTCTATAATGTTGTTTCTTTCATTTTTTTATCTTGAATAGTTTATTGCAGAAAAATACAATGTCCTTTTTTTATCTTTTAGTATATGCAATGTGCTTTATCTTTCACCTATAATAGTGGCACAGTAACACTCATGTTTTTTTACCGATCATAGCATAATAGCAACATATTTAGATTTTCTTTACATACTATAGAATAGCAGTAGCAATATGTAACAAACTAAACTGATCAGCAAATTGTAGATCTCAAAAGTTGTTGTCGAACTATGGCCCAGCCAGTTACGTGTCTTAAGAATAGTAATCATATAATCCTTCGTTATGCAAGATATCATTTGGACATAAAACATGGAACAAAATCAATCTCATTGTCCAAGACTTTGTTTCCCGATTTCTGATTTGTAATGACAAAGAACTAATTGAACACATCACTTTAGTCATGGCCGGGCCCGACACTATAAGTCAACACTAAATCACCGGGGGGCCAAAAATATCACTTTTCTCGATAAGGCAAAATGAACATATAAACTTTGACTTATATCGTTGCACCATTTACTCATTAAATCATGCACAACAATACGTTTTATAACTTCAAGTTACCGATGCGTTTACATATCATCAATGCACAACCAATTTGCAAACTACAACTCATATATCTCAGTTTAAAGATTGTAAGATACTATCATCTAAGAATTACTCGTGTTAAATTCCATGAAGTAATTCTCTAGGTGTGGGTTAATTAAATACTCAAATCTCCATTTCAAAGTACTCATGAATATTGCAGCAACACAATTACCATGTCTAAAACTCTTTAGACAATATAAAATTCAATTCATGACAGTCTTGATTCACCACCATCGGGGTGGTTGACTTTGTACGCAGGGCGTACAAAGGCTTACATAGGGCGTACGCTCGTTAAGTCCAAAATCATGATAGGTGCTTAATGGCTTAAATACTTAAGCCCATATTCTAGATCCATTGACTAAATGTACCTCAGAACCATAAAGTCTCAAACTTTAATACTTTGGACGTCCAAAAAGCCCTTAATACATGGTCTTAATCCATTAAGACCTTTCTACTACTTGCATAGGACACATTTAGCCATCGGGACTTTACTTTTATCATTTAGAACCCTTCCTAGGGTCTGAAAGGGCAGCTTAACACGTCCAAATCATAACATGCACAATATTGGGACTTTTTGGGACAAGAATGGTGTCATAAAGCTATTAAGGCAATATCTACATCATACAAGCATAAAGGCAGAATCTTTTAACCTCTTGGAGCTTCTAGAGGACAAGATAATCTCAGATCTTCAAGTTTGCTTCACTTCTCCAACACCTTCATGCAATTCCTTCTTCTTCTTCTACTCAAAACACACACTTTTAGCTCATACACTCAAGAGAAAGGTTAGGGTTTGGGGAAAACGACTCAAAGCTATGGAGGCTAAAATGATAGAGGGTTATGAGCTCATAAGGACACTTATATAACACCAAACCCTAAATATTAGGGTTGTCTCCTGACGTGAGTACGCCTAGCGTACTAGGGCACGCCTAGTACTCTCAGCATACCCTTATGTACACGTAGCGTACTCCTAATCCAAAATTGTGTTATTAGCCATTAGGGCATCTCATGGCTATATCCTCCCAACCCCAAGGACTAAAAATGACAATGATAATAATGAGGGAAAGATTCGAAAATACCTGCAAAATCTTGGGATGTTACAAAAATAAGAATTGAGAGAGGAGATGGGAGAGGGGGCTCAAAATTTTGGCTATTTCTTTAAAGGAATGAGTGGGACGAAATCCTTAGGGGTGAGGTCCCTTTTATAGTGCAACAAGGATGCTCTGGATAACCCTAATCCAAATATAATAACAA